AGTGATGGGGCACCCACAACATCTGAATGCAAGTCATTCCACTGGTTGATTGTTCTCACCATTAGTAAAATAAAAATAAAATAAAAAACCCACTGCTCCAAAAGTGCTCCTTTTCCAAATTCACTTAATTTTTAAGACATTTAATATAATGTTTATGCTGTAAGCTGCACAGAGTCACTTCAGACAGAGATGGGCAGCAAATAAATTTAATAAATAAGTAAAATAAAATAAATGTTATATTAAATATTCTTTCTCCACATGCACACTTTACAAAAAGAAACAGTGCATATATGTCTAATCTCACCAGCTCAAGGTTGACTCAGCCTTCCATCCTTCCGAGGTGGGTGAAATGAGGACCCAGACTGTGGGGGCGATATGCTGACTCTGTAAACCGCTTAGAGAGGGCTGAAAGCCCTATGAAGTGTTATATAAGTCTAACTGCTATTGCTATTGCTATTGCTATTCTTTCTCTCCTTACAATAGGAACAGCAAAAAAGAAAGCAGATAGAAATTGATTAGTTAGAAAAGAATGCTGTTATGAAAAGGGAAGGAAAGAAAAAAGAAAGAATAAAAGTAGAAGGAGAAGCAACAATCTAACTAGGAATTATTATAAAAAGTTAAATTTATCAAGTTAGCAGCCTTTCTAAACCACAGATAATCTCCCAAGAGATCTCTGCTTTACAGCAGGTGTATCTGACTGAATTCCACCCATTTGCTTGCTTTCAACAGCTCTTTTGCTTCTCTCAGGAAGTACCACACTTCTATTCCTATTGGCAAATTGTTATTTGGGGTGGATGGGGGGGTGTTTCCTATCAGCAAATGCAGTGGTCTGCTTGGGGTTTCAATTGATGTGCAGCTCTATCCACAATGCGATGTAGAATCTGTGATGCTTTCTTGGGACATATTTGCACATCATGCTTTCTTAAAACAATCCATGTAATACTTTAGCATAAAGCTTTTGCTAGGTCCTTTTAGTTTTCCTAAATCAAAGCAGAACTGAGAAATATTAAAATAGGGTTGCGGGATTAGTGGATGAATGAATTGAATTGCAAGGGCTTAATTGCAATTCGGGGTGTAGTCAATATGAGGCAGTGCGTTGATGTCCTGTGATCTTTGTTTCACAACTGTAACCTCAGCATTTTTTTAAAATCAGAAGTTGCTTCTATCAGCAAATGGAAGGTTTTATCCCAGACTTTTCAGTAATAGCTTTAGTCTACCTTCTCATCTAGAAAGTAATGCAAATCAGCAACACTTTGCTGCCTCCTTGGGGCATATCTCCAACTAGAGGAAACATGAGACAGATGCTAAAAGGAAGATTCCTCAGCTGGAGAGAAATTGAATGCAGTCTTTTCCAAGCGTTCCTTAATTCTTTGTGGACAAATTTGTCAAGTTTTGGTCCTCTTAATTTCTCATTATTCAAATTTTAACTTATTCCATTTTGGGGGGAAATTTTGTCAAAAAAAACTCTACATGAAAATGTATGTGTGTTGTGTGTGTACATGTGTGTATTTGCAGGCATTTCTCTAACTATATCTGATTTTCTATGTATTTTTTCTAACACAATTTTTGACAGCAACTTTCCCTAATATGTCTTGTCTCCTGGGTCTCTTTTTCTTTAATATAATAAGGATGGTTAATTGTCCCTAACCTAGGCATGATTAATACATTTTAATGGGAAAATTCCAGTGATTCAAATCAAGCTTTCTGCAAACAACACAGGAAGCAGATTGTGAAAGAAATTTTGTACATACTCAATAAACATTTTTTTTAATAGAGAAAATTATGTTTGAAAATATTTCCTATATGTTTCATAAATTATCAGTATTTGACTGACTGGCATTTTTTTTTAAAAAAAATACCACATTTAAACTAGAAATCATTCTTCTCTGTTTTCTTGTCAACTGAGTGAAATGAACTATTTACATCAATATTGTACAGCACTTTGAGAGAAAAATTAAATGTAGGCCATACCATACAAATGGTAAAATTCTTTAAAATTGGTGGCCTTCCAATATGTTGAATTATGGGTCCTCTAATTCCCAGCCAAAAAAAGCCTTTGACTGTTCTGCCTGGGAAATATGGGATTTGTAGAACTTGGGAAACAGGTTGAAAAATGCTACTGCATTTAAATTGCATGCCTACATAGGCCAAAGAAAGTGGGAAAATCAATATATATTCTGCATTTGAAGGCAATAGGTAATGTTGTCACATTGTTCATGCCTGCAGCACTTTTGCAGTAAGTAAACACTATTCTAAAAATTCACCATTAAAACCAATTCTAGGTATAAAAACCAATGGGATTTGCTATTTTTTGAAAACTGAATGATTGCTACCCTAGATTAATCATTCTTCAGGGAATCAAACTGCAAATCAACCATGTCCAATACAAATAAAAACACATTGGTCTATATACACTAAACTGGTTATAACATCAAAATAAGTCTGTGAAAACTAATTCCAATAAAAGCCTTTCAGACTAGTAGTTTTATATAAATTGGCTAAAATTATGTGAACATTTTAACCAGTTATTTTGGGGTGGGAGGAAATGCTTCAGCCATTACCAATTTATAACATTTGAAAGATTTGGGTTCCTTAGGGCACTTTATTGTAGTAAGCTTGGCAGGATTGCTGACTTACAAATGTAAAGTGGGCCAATTTCAGAGAAATAATTGGAGGAATATTTCTTTTTGCAAAGCATGCGGGACAGGAACCCACCCCTGTGCCACATGTGCAAAAAAACAGCTGATCATTGCACGCATGAATGCCAGAAACCTGGAAGAGGATCGGGCGACACGGCACGTGCCATCAAACATGGCTCTGGGTGTCACTTCAGGCACACGTGCTGTAGGTTCGCCATCATAGTTATATGTTATGTTATCTGACAAGAATAATTTTTCTCACTCTGCTAACTGAACATCTAATCTTTAGGAAGACTGGATTGTACTGAAGTCTTCTAGGCTCCTAGGCAGTGAGTCATGAAGATGAACAGTATTCCTGGGAAATGATGGTCAATGCATAGTCATATTGATGAAGAAGCTTATTATGACTAGTTCTTTGTGTGTAGGAATATTTAGCTTTATTTGTTTCCTATCATTGACCTAAATATGCTTAATCTTTATGTAAGAAATTCCAAACATACCTTTAAGCATTCTAAATAATACTTATCCTACCCTCCCATCCCATATACAAAATATTGTTTTGCTGCTCATTATTTTCTTTCCTCTGATGCCTGGATGTTCCTGTAATCTACATTTAAACTGAGTTTAAGATTAAGGGCAAAGAATATATTTATTAATTAAGCAATGCAATCTCAAAGAAAAAAAATCGCTCACATTTGCGAACCAGTAGGGAAGGTAAGCATAAACCACCCCTGAAAAACCTAATTAGCCATCATTAACAGCAGATCAGGTTAATACTTTGAAAATGAAACAAAGCCGTTTCAACATGTTATGATTGATATGAATGAATGAATGAAGTTGAGTTGAATTGAATTGAATTGAATTGAATTGATGGACGAATTTTACCTGAAGGAGGAGGATTTGGTTGTCTTCCAGATACTCGATTCTGGGTTCCTGCAAACTGCTGCTTAGGTTCTCTGAACACTTCTTCCTGCTGGGCAAGAGTTGGAGATGTTCCCATTGGCTTTTTTCTGCCAACTAAAATTTGAAATAGAAATCATTTAAAGGGGGAAAAACATTGGAAACCTTTTCAAAGGCAGTTAAAACAGTTCTTATTTCTGTACAAATTTTCCATGAATCCAAAGGACAACCGGCTTTACAGTTTTTCAGTGTAACAGTGTAACATAGCAAATTATGTACATTTCATTTCTTATGAATTGCAGGCAAGAGTTTAATGTTCTTATGCAAGAGTGCTAGACTGGTGTTGAGAAATAGCCTAGCCATGGCATGGCTTGAGAGGTTTGGCCGTATAAACCCCTTGTTGGCAGAATCAGAGAAAAGCCTTCTGGGCACACAGTGGTGACAAAGTTATCAACAAAATGCTGATAAAACCTGGTTGTCTTTCCCAGTTAAAATGGAGGTGCTGTGCAGGAAGCTTCATTTTTTTATACACAAATATAGTGGTGGTTTTTTTTTTATAGATCACAAGTATAGTGATCTTTCAAAAAAGCTGACTCTGCATGATACCAGTCAAACATTCTGGAAAGTGTAGACCATGCCTTACTTGGGCACATACTTTTATGATCTCTCCTGAAATCTGAGTCAAAATGGTCATGAAAAGAAATTTCCCTAATGACTGGAAAGAAAATGGCATGTTGACAAGAGTTTGAAGTGGCCTCTGGGGTTGGAAAGAGCTCAACCTCTGACCACTTCAACAATCACATCATCNTGGTAGTAAAAAAATGAATTTCACCACTGAAAGGATGGAATAGGGTGGGGTGGGGTGGGGAGAAAAGGAAAGGATCTCTTTGCCATTTGCTATATTGTGATTTCATACTGAACACAAATACATTAGATAGATTTATTTCAGGTAGAAAGTTTATAGAAGGTATTTTCCACATCAAAGGGAAGATGAATTGTAGGTAAAAAATCCAGCCAAGCTTTCATTGGTTACCTGAAATGCATCTTCAGTTCTAGGTAGAAACAGTTGTTCTCTGTTGTCATTGCCAAGAATAATAGGTCCAACAGAACCTTTGTCTCCATATATCCAGAGAGTGACATTTGCTTGAGTTCCTGAATTTCCTGTCAGTATGAATACTTTCCATTTATCTTCTGAAGGAAAGGGGGACTTTTCATTTTGAATCGTCATCATTTCCTCTGAAAAGTATAAAATGTCAATAGATCAAGATGGATATGCATTTAGAAGTCTCTTTCATAAAAACAAGATAAAAAGAGGAAGAGGTTTTTTTAAGATAGGGTCATAATAGTCTGATTAACTGGCATAACTAAAACACAAAAATTAAGCCACAAGTGTGAACAACATTTTCAACATCAATGTTTACCAAATGTAGCACTGGTTCTAAATTCTTCCATGTGGCAACTGTCACACGTGATGAAGTTTCTTGGTGCAGCAACATCAATTCATCTTGTAGCAAGATGGGCAGCAAACCAATTTAATAAATAAATAAATTAAATTAATAACAATAAATTCCATATAGTTGAAAAGGGGAACTTTTTCAACTATATTCACAATTGCCCACAATTGTCCAACATCACTAAAAAGGTAATTAGAACTTCTAATGTGGAACCATCCATCTCAGAAACCATTTTAGTGCCACTATTTTAGTTCCTGTTATTTGGCAAATATTCTGACAAATTATTGTTCACAACTAGTTTGATCCTTTGTGGACATTTTAGTCACACATATGGATAACTTTTATAAAAGATGGTTTTAAAGATGGCATTGCCTAGAAAAAAATCCATTTTCAAAAATAGCATAGAAAGGAAGGATATATTTAAGCATTTTGAGAAATGTTTCACCTTGTACTTTGCACTTTTTGCTTTTGCACATACAAAAAATCACACATGCTAAGATGTCAGTGAAAAATAGCTTTTAAATGATGTATTTTTCCATAGGTTACTCTTTCTTAACCTGATGCCCTTCTCTGATGTATTCAGAATAAATCTTATCTAGCATATGTTGCAATCTCAACAGACCTGGAAGGTGACTGGGTAAAGAAAGGTTGTTTTGCTTGACCACATGTGCTATAAATCATATGGCTTGATATAATTGCCACTTACTGAGAAAAACCATTGTAAGTATTGAAACTGGATGCCTGAAAGTACCCCACTCCCCCAAGGAAGCAATAAACAGTTGGTTGCCAGCCAAGCATGCAATCACTTGATAGGCATGTATCTGAAATCTGAGACTTGACATTTAAAAAACTACCGTAAATGTTAAACAAAGGATAGAGAAAGACAGGTAACACTGAATTAATGATTTGTTGTTGTTGTTGTTGTTGTTGTTGTTTGAAATCCTTTGCAGGCTAATTATGGATTACTTGAATCATTTAGTTATCAAAAATGAGGGTGTGTGNCTCAACCTCTGACCACTTCAACAATCACATCATCAGAGTTACTGGGAACCAGGTGGCATATAAATTTAATTTATTATTATATACCAAATTGTATCCATAACCATAACTGTGTTTGATAAGAAAGAGAAAACACTATTTTCACACTGATACAGCTATATAAATCAAAACAGCTTTGAAATAATTTATAGCATCAATTTTGGACCTGACTTTGCTTGCCCCCAAAAACACAAATACACGTGCTGCCTAAAATACCATGAAAACCAGGGAGAAAACATTTCAATTTGCTCAATTTGTGGGGTTTCAAATAAAATTGTTCTATATCATCCTTGCTACATATCACAGACTACAAATAGCTGATTATAATAAGATTACATTCGTACTCAATAGCTACTACGCATTTCTGCCAGAATCTTCTGGAGAATATATAGGACTTGACAAGGTATTTTGTTTGAAATCTGATCTAGAAAATTCCAGTCCTGTAATTTTGTAATCACAACATAGTGAAAATTGTTTATCAATCTGGCAGAAATAAATATTTATTAGGTTTGAAAAGCTGTACAATTGTATGCATTTTAAAATGTAGCAGCAGATTTCTAAGTCATGTAGTAGATGCAATGCAATGTCTATCATATCATTGTTAATAATTGGGATGATCATTTATATCATTATCTTAAATATACTTTCAGCAGTAGTTTTTGTATTTTAAAAAAGAATTTGCAAGCCATGTGTTTTTAAAGCAAATAATTATTTTGTACATACATTTGACAACTTGTGGGTAAAACAAAACGTTGCTTTCTCCAGTATCGACAAGTGGTTTGGTCTCACCATTAGGCAGAAGGCCAACATATATTCCTCTGTTCTGTGCCGATTCAAGACTTACAGACACAGTTTCTAAATTTTTTTGAACTTTGAAATGACAATCCACATCTCCTATGCCCTAAAAAAATGTAGTAAATCAAAATGAATAGGACTAGAATAATTATTCTTAGGTATAATTTTATGCCTTACCATTTCAACTATTGGCCTTTTTCTGGTCTCAGAAACTTAGCATAGTTGGACCTAGTTAGGGTGTGGATGGGAAATTTCTAAATATTGGATTTTAAAAAAATCTTGACAAAGACAATGACAATCAACATTTCTTGCCAAAAAAAGCCTTCATGGACCTGTGCACAATGTTTTCCGGAGTCATGTTTGACTCAAAAGGACACCTTATGCTTCCAGGACACGGAATGTAAGCCTCTCTTCCATCACCAGCTGCTACTGATCCCTGGCAGTTACCTAAACAAACTGAACAAGGCCAGATTTTGCTAAATTGGGTTTTTTCTGCCAGTTCAGTGTATTTCCCAACATAACCTGTCATGCATCAACTTTTCTGTGATATGAGAGCACTTAACTTTGTTTGTTTGTGTTTGCATTTCTTTAACTAAATTGTTCAAATTGTCTCTTTCTTTCAACCACATTTACCAGTAGTTTTTTTCTTATTTTAAATGCAAAATACCAACACCAAAAGTATCTAGTTATTCGGTCATATGACTTTTTAATTATGTATCTTCAGTTGGGTAGCTAAGTGGCAAATGGTCAGATTCTACTCTATTTGCAAGGCTACCAGAGCAGAACCTTCTTTTTAAGAATATCTACCTTCTGAAATGTTATCCTGGCAAAGTAAAGGTTAAAATGAATGCATTTCAAGAATTGATATAATGGAGTTCCAAGTTATCCATCAATATATTGTAGAAGACTGAAATCTTCCTCACTATTGGGATATTTTATATTTCTGTTTAATTTATGAAAGCACGGAATTGGAAAGGACCACTTAGATAATTCATTCCTTGTTCAGTGCAATAATCCAGATTAAAGTCTGAATATGGGCTACCTGAATACATTCAATGATGGTAACTGGTTTCATTCTTATTCACTTTTTGTCCCCTTGACTCCTGGTGACAGTCTGGACAAGTCCCTGAAATTTTTATGACAACATCTTCCGAAACAGTTTATCAGTATCTTTTTCCAAGGGCTGGGAGAGTAACTAGTCCAAGTTAGCCACCCAACTAGCTTTGTAAGAAGTGTGCTTAGCTGCTTTAGGGAAAGGCAGCTGCCAGAATGACTGGTTTTACAAGCATGTAGTTGGTGAATTGATGATGAAGATATCCTGGGGAACTGCAATCCAACTGATGAAGTCTCAGAGGGAGAAGGCCACGTAAGGGAAAGCAAATGGATTAGGAAAGCAGCCAATAAAGATAAACTTGCTATAAGAAAACTCAGGAAAACCTAGGTGAGGATTGGCAGGAGCTTGTTGGGTAGAAAGGTCAAAAGAATATCTAAATGGCTGAAGCTCTGCCTTTTATACATGTATTAACATGGACCAAGGGAAAGGGGTCACATAACTACTATAACATAACTACTATCTCATTTTTTTTGACTTCCAATAGGGATGATGATGTGCTAGGAATAATAGTTTACTGTGGATTCTGCTGGCCGCACACTTTTCACCGTGATGATGGAAGCCATTTACTTACATATTATTTTTTTCTCAAAATATGAATCATATTGCATGACTTAAAGGAATTTTGATATATATGACTTTTCAATGTGATGATGGAAACCATTTACTTATATATCAAATTTTCTCAAAATATGAATCATATTGCATGAAGTAAAAGAATGTTGATACACATTGCAGTATAGAAAGCCAGCCAGCCTGCCTGCCTGCCTGCGTGCCTCCCTCCCTCCCTCCCTCCCTTCCTCCCTTCCTTCCTTCCTTCCTTCCTTCCCAGGAACTGTGATAGTATTGAGTTGCCTAATCTAACAAACATTTTGTTAAAACAATAAGAATTATATGACCTTTAAATAGTCATCTATATAATCTTCTAATGTTTGTGTTTCATAAATGTGTTAGCCTTTATTGAAAAATGTATTGTATGCATTGGTGGCATTTTTTTCATATATATATATATGTGTGTGTGTGTGTGTGTGTGTGTGTGTGTGTGTATTTGTGTGTGTGTGTATGTATTATAAAAATACAAAAAACCAATTCAATATTAATAATATTTGATTTTCCAACAACTTAATGTTAAAATAGCAATAGCAATAGCAGTTAGACTTAGATACCGCTTCATAGAGCTTTCAGCCCTCTCTAAGCGGTTTACAGAGTCAGCATATTGCCCCCAACAACAATCTGGGTCCTCATTTTACCCACCTCGGAAGGATGGAAGGCTGAGTCAACCCTGAGCCGGTGAGATTAGAACCGCTGAACTGCAGATAACAGTCAGCTGAAGTGGCCTGCAGTACTGCACCCTAACCACTGCGCCACCTGAGTCAAATACTTTTCAAATATATCTGACAATAGCTTATACAATTCCCTGTATAACTGAGAACATAAGACTGATTTAAAATTAATCTCACCAGATTCTATTATGGATGACTGATCAATTTTAACTGAGGAAGAGACATTGCATAGTAATATCTAAATGATGTTTCCTCAAATTTAATATATTTAAACACAGAAAAGAGTGAATGGGCTTTAGATATAGTAGATTGATACTACTTTTAATGTAGAAAGTCTCCAATTCACTTTCTGTAAAAAAAATCATTAAATAATTAGATGACTTGCAGCTATTATTCTACTTTTATTCTATAACAACTTTTATTAGTTGACTAAAGCTCTGCCATTTTATTAATAACATAACTGAACATTACAATCTAGTGATACCATCATTATTACAAAATTTCTCACATCTATTAGTGACAATGTTTTGGCTGACTTCTAATTAACAAGAGAATTTTAGTGAACCTAAGACGAGATTTGAAACCCAGTGTTATATTTTTTTTCTGGGAAAAACTCCCATATAATATATTTTATTGGTTATAGTCTCTGTATCTGAAGTGATTTATATTATTCTTATAAAGCTGTGTTTCTCAAACCTGGTGACTTTAAATCCTGTGGACTTCAACTCCCAGAATCAGCTGGCTGGGGGATTCTGGGAGTTGAAGTCCACAGGACTTAAAATCACCAAGGTTGAGAAACACTGTTATAAAGTCTCCTTTAAGTCAAGCTTAATTCCTGATTATTTAATAGAAACATTTATGGAATTTGCTTTTTCTAGGTTCATAGTTTGGTCTTCAGTTTTGATTACCTCCTATCCAGGTACTCTTTTAGTTTCTGAGCCCAGATCAGTTGCTTCCTGCTTTGGTCTATTTGAGAAGAACTAGCCTTAAAATGTATCTCTTATTCAATAAATCCATCTATGCACTTACTGAGAAAATGCAAACTTCTTACCGTTCCATTACACTGGCCATCCTTGATCCTTAGATACATTCTTGGGTGTTTCACATTTTCAAACATACAAATCCCAGAGCTGATTTTATGAACTTTCCAGGAAGAGTCATCAGCCTGATTTCCGGCTCCGCTGCAGCTCCCATCAGATCTTAGGCAGAGAAACTGGCAGTAGCTTGTAGCAAGCAAAATTATAGCACTGTTGTGGAATATACCCTATAAATCAGCAAACAGAACCATCTGCAAATAATTTTGGGTTTCAGATTTCCCATTTTTCATTTTTTTTTTACTTCCAATCTAATCCCCTGTCCCTAAGCTGGCATTTTCCAGATGTTTCCCAACTAGCATGGCCCTAAGGAGTGGCTAGCATACTTGTTTTTAGCTTGTGATTTGTTCAATAAGCCATGATTTAAACCATTTATGGCTAAGCAATCTATTACATCAAATCTGGTCAAGTTTAGGTGCAATGATTTAATCTCATTTGATACAAGAATACAACAAACTGAGGAAACTGTGGAATTACGGATAATGATTTTACAGTTATTGCAGGCTTCAGCTCCATCTAGTGGGTAGAAATTGCTTGTCTTTTGAAAGCTGTTCATTTACTATTTGCACCAGCTTTTGTATCATATTCCATTATTTTTTCATTTTCTATTACCTTTACGTGGACCACAAACTCCTTGGTGAGTCCTGCATAGCCTGTGTTATCATCAGCTACTGTGCCTTGGAAATTGAAAGAAATCATTTGGCCTGGTTTCTGGGATGATTCCAGAATGGTGCAATGATTAGGCTGAACATGAACTTGCAGTTCACAATGGTTATCCCCATAGTTCTAACAAAGAGCAAAGTGAGATTAGTCCAAATTCATAGACGTTTTGAAACGGATGCAATTTTAGATCATGGCATTACAGTTTTGCATAACCATATAGCACGAACCTACCCTCTCCTATAGCGGTATAGATTTCTTTCTGTTGTGTTTAAGAAGATGAAACTTATTATAAAATCTAAACCAGGAAATAGGATTAGTGGATTAGTTCTTCAGCATTTACTGGCATTACTGCAATTTTATGGGTAATGATTCTGACTAAAAAGAATATTATTAAGTGAATTATAACTTCAGCTACTAGAATTAATATTACAATAATTCAGCATAAAGTGCATCAGTTCGGGCTGCCAGAAAAACCATCCAGACTTTCCTTCAACACACAATGGCTTTTTGAGCTCAACTCCCGTTGCTGCTGTGTTTTCCCTTTCAGTATCATCATCATGTATTGGTCAGTTCCTGATTGTTGCAATTTTTACTGTATTAAACAAATGTGTCATAAGATTGTGGCAAGTCTGGGAAAGCAATTCTGCACAGCCACGATAGGGGATTTTGGGGTAGTTTCCCACCTCCTCCTTCCCTCCAAAAATGAATAGAGTTGATCAGTAAATGGCATGATAGTGAAACCACAGAATGCCATATAAATATAGGAAGGAAAGTCTTGATGGAGCTAACTGCATACTTTTCGTCAATATTTGGTTTGACCTCTCTCACAGTTATCAACTTTCTTCAGCACAAACACAATGGGAAAAAAGATAGGAGTCATGGTGAAAAGATTACCATCCCTGTGACTGAGCCATGAGCAAGTGCAAGTGCCAGCTGTGGGTTTGGATGACTTCGAAGAACACAGAGGCTCCCTTTCTTCGCCGCCACTTCAAAAAGACCTAATTCATTCAGGATGACAACAAAAACAGAACCTAATTAGATGTTCATAATAATGTAATATTGAGTTGCTTTAGTCCCCACAAATTGCATGAAATTTTCCTCTGTGAAAGCATGTGGTATTTCTTTTTCCTTCCTGTTTGTATTTATTTATTTAATTCAGTGTTCTGTATTTGCCCATCTCAGCCAACTGATTCTGGGAAGATTGCTATTCTAAAACTGAAAAAAACAGCTAAGACAATTGAAAACAATTTAAATGGTTAAAGTGTGTGTGTTTGTGTGTGTGTGTTTTACTAATTTGTAGTGATGCAATCTTGGGGTATACTGGAACTTGCAAAATGCTCCATAAAAGCTAGGAGCAGTTTATGGAGTATGGATGGCCCACTTCAAATACACAGTAAATGAAAGTAATGATATGGAAACTGTTCATTCAAATCCAATAAAAGTCCATTTACTAGAAATAAGCATCAAGATTCTTTGCTTTGCTACTCTGTAACACATGATAATAAAAATTATGCCTTAAGTTTATTTCCATCCTGTGTATCCCTAAGGAATTCTCATTCTGTCACTAGATAGACAGCATTTACCATATTTGTCTTTTTTGTCACCAACGGCATCTACCACTCCGTCTCGTCTAAGACGTATAAAACCATGGGTCATCTTGTTGTAAAGCTGAAGTATATTGCCTTTCTGAAATTTCCATTTCTCAGCTGCCCACTAGAGTAAAACAAAGTAAAACAACTTGTCATCCCATAAAACACATTATATGAATCTTCCTGCCTCCCCCCCCCCTTCTTTTCAATCATAACTGAATCTATTAGTAATCCTTTGCATCGGGGCAACTAAAAGAAGTTGAGCATTTAGGGGCCAGATGCCCTTCCTGACATCTACGTGGAGTTCACAGCAGACAATTACTCATTGCACCCAAAGAGCAAATATCTGCCGTTATCTAGGATCGAACTCACACACTTCTGATGGTGAGATGAGAACTCCACATCTAGGTCACCATATCATTCATCTGAATCTATGAGATTGCCTGGACGATTTCCTGCAATTTTCTTGGCAAGTTTTTTCAGAATGGCTTACCTTGCCTTTTTCCTAGGGCTGAGACAAAGTCACTAGCCCTTGGTCACTCAAATAACTTTGTGTCCAAGACAGGACTAGAACTTGCAGTTTCTGTTTTGCAGCCTGTTATACCAAACTGTCTTTCTTTCTCTTATGTTAGGTTTGCGCACTTCCAGATGCCAATGGCTTCATTACCCAAATTCTAGTAAGACTATTCAGAGTAGCCTGAAAATTTCTCACTATTTCTAGCCTCACAGTGTTCATATTCTTCATAAGCACCCCACCGAGAAGCCTAAAGAGTACTTTCCAGAGTCTGTCTCACCTTCCATCCCATTCTTGACTTCACAGCATTTATTTTTATCAAAGCAATTTAATTGTCAAAAGCACAGAGAAATGACCACAGAATGGCATGATATTCTTATCTTCCCAAGAAGGAGATAGCCATTCAATTTAAAATGAAAATTTAAAGGGTGAGGAGAGGGGAGAAGAGAGATTACTATAGATTTCAAATGAATTTATTTATTTACAACTTTTTTAAAAAAGTTTTTTTACCATGTTCTTTCTCTTGATTTCTAGTTCTTGTTCTGTGGAAAAACAAATATTGATACATGTAAAATATAAGAAGAATATCAGTTAGAAGCAAAATTGCCTGCCAATGCATTTAAGTCCAATAAAATTCTAATGAAATTCATAAATCATATAGTGTAAAAGTGATCTTCCATTAAGAAAGACGAACTCCATTAACTGGTGGCCATGATGACCATAGGAGCCCCCAGCATTTATGAAAAATATCGTATATATCTAGTGTTTGAATGGTTTCCAACAATAGAGGACTCTGCAATAGAGAACAGCCATAATTTTGGGTGAAGCTCTTATATTAAAAGCTCCCATTTCCCCCAAATCCCAGGCTCTTAGCTTACTTTTCTCTCATTGAAACTTAATGGAGATTTCAAAACATCAAAATAAGGCTAAATTGCTGCATGTTACAACTCTCCCTTTCTTGTCTCTTGGGCCTTTATGAACTTGGTTGTTTGCTACTTGAGTTCTGCCTTTACTTAGTCTAGGATTGCAAGCCAAGGCAGATTTATTTAAAAGTAGATATCCCCGTGAAGTAAATATTTAGAATTATTCAGCTTCTGAGCTCTTTGCTAATCCTTGTGTGTCAAAGAAATAGCCATTGATATTATTCTTATCATATAATACACAAGAATTTAGGAAACCCAGAGTCTATGTTATTTAAGGTAGATGCTACAAAAAATGTAATGCAATGCAGTGCAGGGCAATGCATTGCAGTGCAATGCAATGCAACACAACACAACACAACACAAATATACAATGACTTTTTCAGAGAATGACCTTCCCCAAAAACTTTGGCTTATACTTACTCATTGCAATGGTGTAATTATCAATGACATAAAGTTCTCTGACAATTTTGCCATCATCTTCTCCTTGATCTAGCCATCTTTTGGGGAGAAATATATTATGTAATAAGAATATAATGACATACTACTATTTAAACCAAAAATATTAATATTGTATTAATTAAAAACTTTAGATGCATGAAATCAGGGTTGCACTTAAGGCCACTTCTTGATTATACAGAAAAAACATGACTACCTGATTGGATAAAGATCAGGCCACAGATGCCAAAAGTTTTGAACAGAAAATTCATTAAACTGGTGCATATCTCAGAATGAAGAATTAAAAACATACAAGCATGCATACAGAAACACAAACAAATTATTTTCTATACAAAAAAGGATATATTTAAGACTGTACAGAAACTTTCTTGCAGTCATTGATGTTTTTAGTGTGGAAAAAGGAGAGGATAGTCTATTTTTAAAAAGTACCAGTAGCAATGGATTGAGACAGGAAATTAAGATATTTGAGTTAAGCAAAGTGAATATATAATTGATATGGACAAAATATTCCTACAATTATATTGCATTTCAAGAATTTATTCCTGTAACGTTTTTAGAGTTTATGACACTGCAGTATAAACTGCTCAGTTTTATGCCATTAAAGTGCACATAAGTTACCAAGAATAAATAAATATTTACTTTTTCATACTTATTATTGTTATATACACTTTAAAGCATATATATATACATAATGTATGAATACATAAAAATAAAACAGTCACAAATTAGTGTGGCTGAGCTGCATGATCTAAGATTAGGTAAAGTATCTTAAATGTGATATACCACAATTTGGGAACAGTCTTCCTTGAATAGCCGCCATATAATTCATTTAAAGCCAGAAGCAACAAAGATTATTTTACAGGACAGCAGATATTTTGGCAAGGTTTTGCCATCACAGGCACATGAAACATGAAGTATAATTAACGCCTGGCGTAATTAAAATATATAATTTCAAATACACAACAGATTTTCTGTATGTGCACATGAAAACAATTAGAAGTAAACTGCCTCTGATTTTGCTACTTAACTAGGAGTCATCTTGATTTCAAGCAGAATATAAAGCTTGAAACTGCTAGTATATCACTAGCACTAGGTATATATTTATTTCAGAGGCACTTTACATTTCTATACCAGTTGCTGAAAACATGAATTCATGAATTCAATTTGTGGTCTTCCCTTAGGACTAATATATCTGGGCTGTAAAATTCTAAATGACCATTAACTGTAGCAAAGAGAAAAATCTAAGTACTGTTCTTGTTAGTTGCAAAGTCGTGTCCAGCCCATTGAAACCCATGGACAACATTCCTCCAGGCCTTCCTATCCTCTACCATCCCCTGGAGTCCATTTAAGCTCACACCTACTGCTTTGGTGAGTCCATCCAGCCACCTCATTCTCTATCATCCTTTTCTTCTTTTGCCTCAATCTTTCCCAGCATTAGGCTCTTCTCCAGTGAATCTAAGTATAGCTGTCATCTAATGATCACCAGGATGTTTATATTCTAGCTGCTGTCTTACAGATAACTGCTGAAGCATAGGATTTAGGGCTTGACACAAAAGTGCTCATATGTTCAGATCTCAATGAAGTCAATAAAATTTTTCCATTAGTAGAATTATCTTTCTAGCAAAGGACAATCAACCAGCCAAACTGTGTTTTGAAAGACTGTGTGATGACCTGCCAAGAGAGGGCAATAGGTGCTGTTGGCCTGCCAAGAAAGTTCAGTTTGACAATTACTGCAGGATTGAGGGATAGGTGAGAGTAGTTTTTAAGGAATCTGAGGCTGGAGGAACTTTTTTCCTTAGTGTTTGCCTGCTCCTCATCTTTCACAAACATCAAAAAGTTGGAAAAAGATCCTGAGCAGCAGTCCTGGAAAACTTCCGCAGCCAGAAAGACCTTCAATTGTCAATTCCTTAGTGCTTTGTTTTTTTATCTTACTCGTCCCAATAAGATATACAACATTATGAAATGGCTATTATAATTTTTTAAAAAAATAAACTGAACAAACCTGTAACATAGAAAGATATAATCTGAGTTTGTGATAGGATCCTGGACAACAATTTTCTCCAGAAACCAACCATTTCCTAAGTGAGAATATAAATAATAATGAAATCAAGTCAAGTATGTATTAATATCACTAAATCTCATGATAACTCTGTGCTGACTCATTCTCAAGTGCAAGCTTACATACTTGATAAGTTAAAAGAGTATCACACAAACTTTAGCCATTTTTTGTATTGCATTTAAATAATGCATACAGTGCTGCAATATTCACTTGCTTGCTTATTTGTTTATTGTATTTCTTATCTCCAATTTAAGACAGCTGTGACCCCAGAACAATTTGCAATATAAAGTGCATACCTCTTTAGGTTGGTAAATGGAAACTGGTTCATACAAATGTAGATTGTTTAGGAAAAGTTCTAAATTCTTGTGTGTCAAGCAGTGGTGGGGTTCAAAATTTTTTACTATCAGTTCTGTGGCCGTGGCTTGGTGGGCATGGCATGGCTTGGTAGGCATGGTTTGGTGGGCGTGGCAGGGGAAGGATATCGTAAAATCTCCATTCCCACCCCACTCAAGGGGAAGGTTACTGCAAAATCCCCATTCCCTCCTGATCAGCTGGGACTCGAGAAGCAGAGAATAGATCAGAGGCAGTCAGAGGTGATATTTATTTACCGGTTTTCTGAACTACTCAAAATTTCCACTACTGCTCCTCCAGAACTGGTCAGAACCTGCTGAATACCACCTCTGGTGTCAACGACATATAACATAGTTGAGATTGGTTTGTTAGCAAAATCAGACTAACCTGACAGTAGAAATCTGGGCCTTAGTATCCCAGGTTATGTAATATCCCCTGCTAAAGTCTACCCTTGAAGATAATCCATATGTTCAAAAAAAGTATAGAATATTGAAGTTCATTTTCTAGTTATAAAAGATCAGAGGAATTTCATATCTATTTTTCTTGAAGGAAATTCAGAAACAAAAAGCTTTTGCTGGGAAATGGTAGATATTAACTTACATGGTCCTAGAATGGTTGGGTCTAATACTATCTCTAATTATCTCCAGAAATGTATCAGCCCACTTTTTAAGATTTTGTGAAGCATTGAAAAACATGCTCAGATATTTAGCTATGTGAGCCACACTATCTATCCCAACTCTCTTACCACCCATTTTTCTGAAGGAACATACAGCTTTCTAAATACTGTAATTATGTTAATTGTCTAAGATGCAATTGTACACTTCCTTTGGTTTATGCTTTTAGTGTTGAATACACAATATTCTTCTGACTACATTTGCATACCTGTATTTCATTTTTGAAATTATTATATAATTGTTATATAATTGTATAATGTGTAAAATAAAATAAAAATAAATAATTTCTAATACTTAAGAATCAATTTAAAGAAATTTAAGAATGGAATAGTTTGAACAAGCTAAATTGAAAATTGAAATTATTTCTACAAATAAAATAAAATTATTGAAAAGACTTTCTATATGGAGTCTGAAAAAAAATCATGTACAAAATGTGCATATAATGTGTAAAAGTTAAACAATGTTTATTTTTCACAGGTATCAGAAGCAGTGCTAGGGAAGGATGCCCAGATCTCACATAATAATTTCTTTTCCATAAATGGGTGCTGCTTTTTCTTAAAAAATCTTTATTCCTAAACTCAAATATTCTATTTTATGTCATTGAAGTATATAAACATTTTTAAATTTCTGACCTGAGCCAAGTCCATTGTGTCCTATAACAATTTTATATAAATGTCCAAGGTGCACAGCTTCAAGTGAGAATGTATCAGTCTGCAATCAAGCAAATAACACACATTTAATTTTAAGTGTTTGTGTTTATCTTCCCTCATTCTCTTTCAAGTAACCCACATATGCAAATGTGAAACATAAACCCTAAACAAGTTTCCATTTATATGAAAAGAGCAATAAAAATACTTTTAATCAATTACGGTTAAATGCACAAGTTAAGAAAATCAATAAGACATTTTACTCCAATTAATTGAATTAAACTATGGTAAATCATTTTTAAAGTCACAAACACACACTAAAAATGTTTATACTTTTCTTCAAATTTAGTTTTTACAAGGTTATATTGCCTCAGGCTAACTAAAGGAGGGAAGATAACATGGTCACAAAATTGCTACATTGAAGCTAAATTGACTTAGCAATGCTGGAAGTACTTATTTTTCATGCTAAAAAATTAAGGTGCAATTTCTTCTTTTCCCCACAAATAACTGTTCTGTCCATTTGCTGTACATTTTATACGTAAATAGACGTTTAGCATTTTTATGCTGGAAAATACCAAAGGGAGTCATATCTCTTTGGCTAAAAGATGAGGAAGAGGACATAATCATATTTAATCTACCTTCTTTCCTAAAATATATAGGAGTGTGGTCGTGTATATTTCTATAATTCTGTGAAGTTATTTTTAATAAATTTTGTTTGTGATGCAGATCTATACAAATTAATAGCCATTGCTGAATTGTGAAAAGTGTTATATTTACATGAACTCATTTTATTTATTGTGCACATTTATAATGGTGCTCAACTCAAACAATGTGACTTTAGGTAGTGTACAAGAGAACACTGACAAAAAGGTAACCTGGGTTGTTAAAATACCTCAATATATAAAATGGTGAGCCAAATGGAAAAATTAGAAAACAAAAATGGGACTCAATTCAACTGGACCTAAATGGCTAGGAAAAAAAAGACAAAAAATACATTTTGGGCACAATGGCTCAGCAGGTCCCAAACCTGTTACCTTCTAGCTGACAAGCTTGTCAACTAGAATGTAATGAGTTTGAGACCTGAGCTCCATGCAATGGGATGAACTCTCGTTATGCCCCAATTCCTGTCCACATAGCAGTTCAAAAGCATGCAAATGCAACTAGATAAATAGGTACCATTTTGTTCGGAAGGTAACAGTGTTCCATGAGCCTCGGCCTATAGCCATGCTGGCCACATGAGCATGGAAATGTCTTCGGACAATGATGGTTCTCTTGGCCAAGAAATGGAGCACTATGCCCTAGAGTTGGATGTGACTGACAGGGAAACCTTTACTTTTTTTTTACCTACATTTCAGGTAAAAAAAGGACTTTCATATACAGTATACATATTTAGCAGTGGGTTTTATGGGAATTCACTCACTTGTCCTTTCATGTGTTGTTGAGACTTCATTGACCTATGCAGCTGTCGGCACCCTGTGTCACCTTTTTCTCCATTGATTGCTATGTAAACATCAGCTTCTGTCCCAGCATTCCAGAGATCACCAGTTACTACATGCACCTTGTACATTGCCACTGAAAATTTAAAAAAGATAGCAATTTACCAACATTATGCTGTGTACAATTATTTTATACTGCTGTCCAACATGCATCAATATCATATTTATTCCTTGTATCTAGCTGACCATTTAAAGTACATGATTCTGGTTGGCTCACAATTAAAACAATTAAAACATGGATAAATTAAAATAAAACATGCAGTGGTTGGAGAACCATAACAAGTCCTCAACACACCCAAGAGATCAGTTTCATTCCACATCTGGAACCCTAGGCTCAGGCACGGAACCAGGTCTTCAAATACTTACAAAAGGTCTGCAATGTGTGAGCCAATCTAATTTTATGGGGATGATATTCCAGAATGGAGCTATCATGACAGAAAAGGCTTTTGAGATTGAGATTGAGATTGAGAAGTTTATTTCTATGCCGCCCTTTTCCCTGGGGGGACTCAGGGCAGCTTACAACTCGAAGGGGAGGGGAAAACAAACATTTAACAGGTAGGACAATACATTATAAAAAAACACAACATTCATACCATTCGGGCGGGTTACAATCTTTAGCCCCAGGCCTGACGGGATAGCCAGATTCTGAGGGCTGTGCGGAAGGTCTGGAGGGTGGTGAGGGTACGAATCTCCACGGGGAGATCATTCCATAGGGTCGGAGCTGCCACTGAGAAGGCTCTCCTCCGCGTGGTTGCCAGTCGGCATTGACCAGCGGATGGGACTCGGAGGAGGCCTAATCTATGGGAGTGCTAGTCATTGCCAGCTCTAGGGGCAGTGCTCATCTCCTGTTCTAAGCCAAAGAATCAGAGCTGTCCAAAGATGTCTCTGTGGTCAAGTGGCCGGCATGACTCAATGCTGAAGGTGCACAGAGCACTGTTACTTTCCCACCAAAGTGGTCCCTATTTTTCTACTTGCATTT